ATTCTGCGTTTTTAGTCCAACACTGATAAATGCACCTAACTACTTACTGTCTGCGTATATCACGAAAAACCTGAGTAATTAAATCATTACTGAGAAGATAAACGAGTTTCTGGATTGAACGGCCAGACAAAATTAGGATGTCGAGGGGACACTCACCATAGGAACTCTTTGCAACGTCACTGACAGCTGGCCAAGCGGAAGATTGAGAATCTGACTGTTTAGATATATTGAGCAACGGAATTGTCGGCCTTGAAGTATAGTCTGATTGTGTGAGAACCAATATGATCGACAAAACTACCTTAAGCAATTTTTCAATTGGCTTATCACACAGTCAAATCACTGTTACATCGTCAGAACAAAGTGTAATGTCATATCCAAATAAATCGATCTTTGTCATTTTGACCCGATTTTGCGCAACAGTTTTGTGATTGTGCCAGAGCATTCACTAATAACCACAGAAGATGGGTATTCCTTGCACATTCGGTTTTTCATTGCCATTGTATGCAAGGACTCCTTTATCAGCATACCTAATTTAGATTGGCCTCTGTCTATGACAAACATATCGGTGTGACTGAAAGAATGACCTTCAGCAATCGCATGTTGGGCAATACCAGAACTGTCAGCCTGTTCAAAGCGGGCGGCAGCAAGGTGCTCTTTTATACGGATATCCAATTTCCGGTTGGCCTTTCCAATGTACACCTTGTCACAGTCTCTGCACTGGACTTCATAGACAGCATTAAGCCAATTAAAAAATTGGCACTGTTCGCCTGTTGGACAAATTTTTCTTCTAGCAAACAACTGCATTCGGTCCAGCCCTGATGATGCTGCGGTCAGTGCAGTGAAACGCGGAGGCATTAAACTGTTTACCATCTGCTGCATTTCGTGCCCCGAACCATGAATCATTCAAACAACCATGTAAAGATGAGCTTCGCACTAGAAACTCAAAAAAAGACTACCAATACTGCATATCGTAAGAACGATAGAACAAAAAAATCTGGATGAGAAGTATGGCTTCCGTTCCGATCGCAGCACAGCGGACCAGTGATCATCGCATCTGAGAAAGATTTTGGGAATATGCAGAGGTTAATGTCTGCTTCACAAACCTTGAAAAATTTTAAGACAGAGTACCCAAGTCGAAGTTCTGAAGAATACTGTAAGCATTTGGAGTGGATGGTCGTAACTGTGATCAAGTTTAAACGAGACTGCTTAAAAACCTTTACCGCAGCAATAAATACCGCCGAAATCATTTTTGAAAAACCAAAGCATCAAATATCATTAATCTGGGTACTAGTTCTTTGACCCTGATACCTCAGATAAAGAAGAAAACAACGACAAAAGGTCCGTGTCCGCATTAATGGCAGGAAAACGATGTGTTTCCAAGCGACCGTTAGTCTCCGCCAGGTGTTTGGTTCTACGACAGTTCATAATTTTTATGGACTGGATAAACAGACGCAGACCACTAAGGAGAACACACTAGGAGAGGCCTGAATGAGTTATCTACTGCTTGCAGATTATTTTGTCAAGTTTGCTTCGTCAAATCATGGTCTCCAACCTGCACTTGATCGCCTTGTTGCTGCTGCATGGGATGAGGCTGGTACGAAAATCATCCTGATTAAAAACGAGGCTGTTGTACCCTTGAGAAATGCTGCACATTTTAATCTGCAGACAAATGAAAGGCAGCTGAAGTTGGCAAAGAAATTCAAGTAGTTCGAGGTAGCATTCACGAGAAATAGTTGAACAGAAAAATGAATCAACCAGATTAGTGCTAAACTGGAGGTGTCTATCTCCAAGTCTGCATTCGCACTTATCCTTACTTATAGCAATGGATACAGCCTAATTATCGACTTAGTGCGATCCTCGATAAAAGCAGCAGAAATGAAAGTTCTGCTAAGGACTGTTGGTGTAATGAGGGTCGTAAAGTTTCGACATACGGCAATTCAATATACCACCGTAACGTGCTGCTCCTTCACGGAGGTCGAGAGTCACAACTACTATAGACATGTGATGAGCATGTCGCAAAAAAAGCTTCCCATCAGTACTTTCTTGGCAAAAAGATAAGGAAGGCAGCCCAAGGACATACAGAAGACCAGCAGGCTCAACGATATAAAGACATGGTATTGCTGTGTCATGAATCTAGACTACAGAGTTTGTCCGTTTGGCAGCAGATCGAATCGAAAGCCTTCTGAAACAGCTGCTCTCGTGATCTGAAACTTTTATGGCGAGCGTTGAAACGGAATGAATGAGAAAATGTCTGCAACTGCAGCATAATACTATTTGAACAAAGAACTAAAACGAGCGCTTACACTCGCTGTCCCAATTATCTCCCTTAATTTCTTCCTCAACTGATCTTCCACAGCTGACAACAGACTGGCACGGATATGTTCGGGTTGAATAGTTCCCGTACCGGATGGCCACTGGATGCCAGCGGAACCTTCTTGTGACACAAAACTGACGTTTCCCGTGGGATAAGGCGGCCGATTGGGTGCCGCTGCGTCCGATGCCGGAAAAGGATAACCTGCATAGATTAGCAAATATCTGACATCAAAAATCTGCAGCAACAATACTTGAGACAGCAGAAACAGGAGCGGTTCTTGAAGGATCTGGATAACTTCTGAAATGATTGTTTGAACCAGGTGCAGGATACGGAGGTTTCGGCATTGCGGAAAAACCTAAAATCAGAAGAATAACAGATCAGCTCAATCATGAAATGTCGAGAACATAAAGATGTTAAATCAATAACGATCACACTAAAGAAATTATTCATTTTTACGCTGAAATAGGCTACATTTCTGTTAGTATGAACCATCACGGTACTGCTGTTTTAAACTTGTCCGCAGTTAAGGCCACACAGCGGAATCTCCGCAAATAACACAAGGGAAGGGATTAGTGAGTTAAAGGACTGATTACTTCGTCTCAGAATGTACGAGACTTAGTCAACGGAAATCTCGGAATCAGGAAAATAAAGTATTCGCTATATTCGCCTAGTTCGATATCGACGAGTGGCTACCCTTCATTAACATATCATGATTTTCTGTATAACTGCAGGTCCTACCAATAAACTAAACAAAAGTGTAATGATTTCACCATGTGGAATAGCATGAAGTTGATCCAGAAAGTATTCAGCCCTTATACCCATTATTTCGCTGCCTTTATTAAGTTTATCGTTTATCTCTGCGCTAAAAAAAGAGGAAACATGATATTTTTAACTCAGAGAACTAGTGTTGAAGTCGGAGTTCCTTAAAGCAAAATCAAAATCCATTTTCTTCCGGAATATCTATACATCCCAATAATCCGCAGCAAGGCTAACAAACAAGTCAATGAAACATAACAGGCAAAAGATGTAAAACCTATATTGAATACCTGACACTGGGTAAGGAGGTGGTGGCTGACTGCCGGGGACAGGTGGCCGGCTAGATGATCCACGTGTTTTTGTAAACACCGGACAGTTTTCGCCAAATATTATAGACATAACTTGAAGCAAACTCGCCAAATCGGACTGAGGCTAAAACACCATTTAAGCAAAACGATGACGCAAGAAACGATTTTAAAATCCTCATAACCATTCTTAAACGCATTCATTGATGTCGAGCCTGGATGAAAAAACGCAACAACTGCCCCAGCATCCTGAGAAAAAGACGAAGCTTAGCTATTCGATCAACCTTCATACTTAAGAAAAGAAAGGCGAACAATCCGAGAAGAACAGACAAACGTTAGAAGAAACTTCACCTTAGATGATCACCATTAATGGATAAAGGCAAGCGAATCAACTGTGCCAATTTTCAACTCGTGAACGTAAAGCTGGTGCAGGTCAGCTGCCTTGTCACAGATACAACACGCCATGACCTAGACCCGACAACGCCTACCACTACCACCCGTATAAGTAGTAGTAATGGAAACCACGCAGGGCAGACCCGAACAGAATCGAAACAAAATCTACTAAAGAAAGGCATTGAAAAATAAGTGGTTCTAAGAAAGACTGAAGTAATGCACTGCCTCACAAGTTCGTCCGACAACTTGCTGACGAGAACTAACGATAAGTACGAACCAAAGTAAAACGCCATCTAAAGAGTGTTCTTTCGCATAGAAAAATTCGCCTGCAAACTTCAGATATGTGCTTCTATATAAGACTAAATTTAATCCGTTATAGAGCAGTAAACGTTAGATCTAAAATCAAGCCGACAAGACCTGTCAACTGGCTCTGAACCATCGCGCTGTTAACAGTGAGTAAACGGTACCTAAAACTGCTGTGTATAACCAATACGCTACCAGTAAATATAAGGGCTGAACAAGAGCAATGCGAAAATAGGGACATCGACATCGATATACTAACGTGTTTCCAATCGGTGATGTACGGCAGGTAAACCCGGCCACTGGCGTCCACGTTAACAGAAGGACTTATGACCATATCTGATGTAGGAGACACGAAACAACTTGGGGCAGTAAACGGATAGTTCTGAGATAAATACACGGATATCGGGATGTGATAGACAGTATCTAAACAAACGATGACAAACCGGCCGACGATCAACCAAATTGGTCACCATGATACCGTACGGCAATAGTGCCGTTCAAGCAAAACATGTGGTGAAGCTCCCTCGAAGTTTCTGAGGCTAAAAAGCAAAAAAGATACAATAATGCGGTGGCTTTCGACAATAAGTGACGAGGTCGATAGGTGCTTACCGAAAGGGCTTATCTTCGGAACCAGGTCAGGAAACTGCGAAAGAGCGGCAAGTATGTCTCGCGTTGCCAGATCAACATGGAAAGCCTTAAGCACGAAAATTGCAGCAATGATCGACGGCGATCGCTAACTCACTTTAACGGAATTGAGCAACTGTAGTACTTTTGCGTTCGACATTGGTCGCGAT